GATACAGCATAGTATTGTGATATTTTACATGGGGATATAGTAACAACAAATATTGATATTTTAAGAAATAAACTGAAATACTGCAAATTAGAGGGCTCATCTCCCACATTGCCATCCTGAGATAATAATAGCCGAGCAAACTTACATTCAATCGGCTTGAATAAAAAACATCTAAAGGAGCTAATGACTCAGTCACATAAGTGCAAAAAGGACAGCAAACAGCTTGCATCTACAAAAATAATAATAATTAATAAAAATGGTGGCTGACTCTTGATTGTATTGAATTTTTTCACATATTTTCTGACTGGAACTTGAGGTGAATTGTTGGCCACAGCTTGAGGTGAATTGCACGCTCAAGACCATTTGTGATTCCAAGGTGATTGCACAGGTCCCCTGATAGGAGTCAACCTTTCTGCAAACAGCTGCAGTCTGACTTGGACTGACTCGCAGAGCGAGTGTCGAGGTTTGCAAATAATTGCTGTCTAATTTATAAATGCAGACAGAAGCACAACTTGAGGGGTCTTGACTCAACCCTGGCTGCCAGCTAATGGTATTCTGGTCATGTTTCCATAGAAAAGGAAAACTGAGTACGTGTGAATTTCTGTCTGTGCAAACAGCAACAGAAATGTGATTTTCGATGATTTATCACAGAAGATGGCTGTATGGAAACTTGACGCCATTCAGTCGCAGACTGCAGACTGACTTATTGCAACATTTATGGCAGGTTTTAGTATCCGTGTTGCTGTTTGCCAAACACATTTTAAGTGAGTGAAGTATTGTGACTGTGCACTGTTTTGTGGGGTGTCTGGTGATTCTCCTAAGAATTGTGTTATCGGTAGGGTTGTGGATCTGTTACTGTTGTATTGACAATAAAACACTTTTAAGTTGAACTTCTGTACACCGTGACACTGGATTTAAAATCATTCCTCAGTTGACCTGGTTCGGAAAGATTTCCGTCACGTGTTAGACAAAACAGCGTCCACGGGAGGTACAGCAGTCTACCTTCCTTTCCACTTGAATTATTTTACAAGACAACTTTAACTATTAATATTAATTATCATTATGCTGAAACGTCGTGTCTGAATTTAATCTTAAAGTAAACATGCTGTCGTTATATAAATATTCCCCCAAAACACATATGAGGGTGTAGTTAGAGCGTTTTACGGCATCTATATTGACAGTGCTAACATGTATTGAGACACTAACTGTTAACTAACGAGTGTTTGAACAACTAGGTGATGAAGCTCCTGTTTGGTAATATAAAATTCAACGAGTTCTCAGGAATTAGCCAGTTACTCATCAGCGCAGTATCTACCATGAAAAAGAGCGTTTTCCAGTGTTACAGAAACTAAAACTGGCATAAAGTGACCATGAGTTAAAAAAGCTACAGAAATGACCCCGATAACATTAAATAACAGGTCTTCCAGTGTTGCTGGCGACATTTTCCGTTCCGTCTGTTGACAGGAAAACGCTTTCAGTTGTTGATACCATCAAATTTAAATACCTGTTCATGTAGTCCCAACATAATAATTTTACCTCACCTGTCAGTTTTCTTGAAAATATGTGCAAACAATTAATCCTTTTCCACCGGTGTCTGCCTCTGTACAACGCGGCCATGTTGTTATTATGAAAGGACCCAGAACGGGACGATGGTGGCTAGAGACATGCCTGCAAAGAAATACTGCATCATTATTACAACTGCGTTTCATTTAATTTTTTACGAGTAACGTAATAAATATTAATGAATTTAATGGTGTAATTTTGAAATAATCTTAATAATATAAACTATTAATTTATGTCTAATGAATAAATGTTCATACACGAAAATGGCTATTAATTTACATTTCATCCGTATAAGTCAAAATACGGAGGAAATTTGTTTGAACATACAGACTGTCTGCGTTAGGATTATTTAGTATTTCGTCAACAATGACTGGTGACCTGAACAATATTTAACTGAAAGAGATGCACTGTTTGCTTCAAATAAAAGAAAACTAACTTTCATCTTCTTTATCAAATCTGCATCGTACAGTATAAATAAAAATGTTTAACATTCTTAATTTGTGCCTCATTCACTTCACAATCAGTGCATTAGCAGTTTAATGTCTCTATTATTACTCAGTTAATTATTTCAATTACTGACATAATTAGGTTTGGCCACACTACGCCAGCAGGGGGCCCCCAAGACCACATGACATGCCATATTTTAGTGGGTTCATGTAAAAGGTAATCATACCGGAGAAAGCACAATATTTTCGATAAATATGTTAACAGACAACTTAATGAGACTAATTTGATGATTTTCACGATTTTCACTGTCAGAGCTGGGCTCACGTTTATGCACAATCAAAAAAATAAATAAATTAATAAAAAATTGGTGGGCTGCAATATTAACTGAAAAGATTTGTCCCTCTCAGGAATTAAATACTATTTATTTATCATTAACGTTTACCATCAATAGCATTAGTTAACCAGAAGTGTCAAACAAACCTTCAGTTCAGTCACTGTGTGGTGAGCTTAGGTAATGTTTAAAAACCACAGGTATTATTGTTGTTACTCTCCTGTCAGTTCCTTAGTCAGACTGTTTCATTTATTTAATATCGTCTATTAAAAAACATTTTCTTTGTGATGCAAAAAATAATATTCAGGCCTTTTTTCAATTCTTTGCTTCTGTTTTGTTCATTTGTACACTTAAAAAACAATTAAAACAGTCAACTGGTTTTAAAAATTCATTGTCTGATGGGTTATTTCTTTCCAGCACACTACTAATCCATAAACCACTAAATAATGGTTGTATTAAATGCATAATGCACAAGTTATCATGTATGCACAAAATGTTAATATTGGTGATGCTGGGGTACGCACTTTCTGATGGGTTTGGCTAGGGATGGGGGCCTTAAATGAAATTCTACTCATAAAACTTTGGGCTGGTTCTGGTCACATAAATAATATTAATATCACATACATCACACTTATTAGATTTTTCATGTGTGATCTGGAGAAGAACATGCAGTTATTTGTATCTGAATTAACTGACTAATTATCAGTTCAGGGTTTATGATAATACTGCCCCAGTTATCTACACCTTTTATTTACAAAGTGAACAGGATGGGGCTTTGTACTGACCCCCGTGGAACGCTGTTTGTGATAAACCAGACTGAACGACGTCAGCGACTATTGCATGAGTTCCACCAGAAAACTGTGAAGCTAGTTACATTTTTTCATGTAAAAATCAATGACTCTTAGCCCTCTGTAAAAAAAATATTAGAGTCCACCGTGTGAACAATGCAACACTCCTGTTAGTCTAGAGAACAGATTTTGTAATTTTCTGTCTTACATGCTGCAGTGAAGGTGCTACATCATGCTCTAAAAACAAAAGTACAGTGTTCAGATAATAATTTTTCTGAGCACTAATTTATAAACTGTTACCAATTGTTGTAACTTGTCATGTGAATTACTGTTCACAGTGTAAGCGTGTCTTAACACCGCATTAAAGCATATGCATGGTTAATGACACTAATGATGGCTATGAGATCTAGGATCCTGGTTGTGGTGCATCCTATGTAGTGACACAGCTTATTGAGAGGACTGAATGAGTTAATGTTATTTGTTCCACGTGTGCCCAGTGAGCTGCAAAACATCCTGTGTGAAGGGTGTATATGCGCAAATTCCTTTGCCAAAGGTTAACATGTGTATGTGTACTTGACCAAAGAAAGTCCTGTTTTTCTGAATTAGTAAAATAGTGAGATCGTAATTTTTAAAAATGGCCTTCTTGTTCTGAATTCACACAATATCTTAAAAGAGATGGAGCCTCCTTTGACTTGAAAGCTGGATTTCATTCAGAATAAAGACCCTCTTGCTTAGATTGCTGTTTTCTTTGGGTACAGATTTAAAACACTAACCCTGGGAGATACCAGCATCTTTGTCTCTTGAACAATTTAAGCTCTTGGTTCAGTTACAAATGGAAAACATTAATTTTGTAAGGTTTAAAAGAGGGACTCCCCCCTCATGTACCTCACAGTGGTTTGTTCCACTGCCTACAATTCCCTAAAGGATGAACAATGTGTGAGACACTATTTTCCTACTTCGTACAGGTAAATATGTTTACCATTGTAACCAGACTATGTCTTATTACAGCGCCATTATCTGACTTGTGCTTCACTGGGGCCCCATACTGTTAAAGGGCCGCTGGAGGCTGGAAGTCTGTGCACATTAATAACTTTATAACTCAATGTTCAACTGCTTTTGTTTGGTTCTTATTTTTGATATTAATTTATTTCCCACGGGTCCGTCCACCCCATTTCAAAACCTCTGGATATGGCCCTGCTTCTGAGCCTCCACATGGCTGGGCTAAATGCATTTTAGATGATTGGCCTTATAGAGCTTACAGAAAATGTCCAGTGAGCAGCAGTTCTCTGGGTGAAAATGCATCGTTGATGACAGAAGTCATAAAGGTCAGAGGAGAGTCATCTGACTGCTTTAAGCTGACAGGAAAGCAACAGCAACTCTGTTACAACCAATGCAGAAGAGCACCTCTACACCATGACGTGCAGAACCTTGAATCAGAAGACATCAGTCAGCTAAGAACAGGAAACTGAGGCTACAGTTCACACAGGTTCATCAGAATTGGACAGTTGGTCAGATGAGTCCTGATTTCTGAGCACGTTCCTCATGTACACTCACCGGACTCTCCCCATGTTTTAAATTATTATTGTGTTGAAGTAAATTTTAAGTTAATGTGAACATTCCTGGTGTAACAGAAAGCATTTTATCAGGAAGGTGATTTCAATACCATGATGAAATACATTTCGGAATTTTGCTATCCCACTTGGTATCAATAATCCACTCAGTAATTTTCATTGAAAATATTTCTTTGGTTGAAAGGTAGTTCCACAGCAAAATGTTCCCTGTGAGCATTAAATGAAACTCCGATGTGAGTGAATAACCTGGGTGGATTCGTCACACATGATATAAAACAAGACTCGGAGCAGAGCAAAGTGTTCTTTCCAGGCATGATTTATTGAAAACACACCAAATTTATATTCTACAAACCAGTATTTTTCCGTTATGTTTAACAAGCGTAATAATTGCCTCTGGGTATTAGTAAAATTAACATACATTCTGTCACTGTGGCATCGCCTCTGCTCGCTACGAAAGCATTAACAACTGTACTCCTCTAGGAAATCCAACCAATTCTTCCAACGAGTCTATCTTTTTAAAAGTTTATAATACAATGTAATAGAGGGCAGGAAGCCACCAACAGTCTAAACTACTCAGGGGCTGGGAGTGGTTGAGGGTCGGGCTGGGTGTGGTGGTGGTGATGATGCAGGATCCATGAAGTGATGGGTGGAGTCGAGGGAAAAATGAGAAGAGGGGCTGACAGGGGGGGAGGAGAAGGTGAACATAGGGAATGGAGAGATGACAGCTGAAGGGGAGGAATAGAGTTTATATAAAACACTTATCTTTATCTACCATGGAAAAGGTTAAGGCACATGATAGGTACAAACACATCTGCTACTGAGTAGTACAGTTACTTTATTTTGACGGTCTTGATTCAGATATATCTACACAGGTAGGCCTGTTTGATTTAATGTGTGTGTGTGTGTGTGTGTGTGTGTCCATGTTTATTTTGTAAATGTACATAAGGGCAGCACATCCACAAAACCTAAACCCCCTGTTTTTTTTTGTTTTTTTTTTTAAAATGTGTGTAAATACAACTCCAGATCCTTTGGTTGTGGTACTGCGTAGTGCAGTTAGGAACAGACAGTCATGTGGGTCTAATGACAGCACACACGTCTGAGGACACACACACACGAAAGGGATGCTGGGTATTATCGTGTTTTCTTCTTTAACTTGTGAAAATAAAATTTATACAATAAGTTGTTTGTTTTGTAGTTCATTGATTTTTACCACAACGTACATCTTTATAAACACTGTGTAAAATATGCAAGCTTCATAGAGTCACATACGTCACAAAGAAAAGTCAGACTTGAACGCAGGCACATGCCATTCGCCTTGATGACGCACGAGTGATACAACCTCAGATTGGATTCTCTTCCACGGCCCTTTTCTTGCATCTCAGCTGCCCACCCTGTAACGCTGTAAAAATATATACTATATGGTCAAACTTGATGTTTGAATTTGTACAGAGGGATGCAACCTTCTTTTGTTGTTGTTTTGCCTCTAACCCCACCTAATCATCCACCTGCACACTCTTCCTGCACACAAAGGACTTAGTTAATATCCGAATGACGTCACACACAAATAAAAAGACGACAAAATTAAAAAAACAAAACAAAACCTGGCACTTGGAAAGAATAGAATATAAACATCTGTACAGATTTTTCTTCATGCTCACGACTGAATATTTCTCTTTAAGATGTACTGGTGTTGGAGAGTCGATGGTACTTGCTTGGGGAAAGAAACGAGACTTTCATTAACACTGCCACCTCTTATCAAGCTGTGTGACCTCTGACCTCTCCAGAGAGATGAAGTCAAACACAGATGCATCGCCTTCATAAAGAAAACTGCAGATAAATTTTGTTTTTCCTGTAACATTTTTTTTTTTTTAAACACAAAATATAAATAGGTGATCGGCTGTGTAACGATAACTGACACACATTTAAGTTACGTGGTTATTTCTTGCTTACAAACATGATGAACTTCTATCAAATGAGATGTGCTTTCCAAACAATGTGATATTAATATACAACTAAGAAGTCAGTAAATGTCATTTTCTCCTTCATTTTTCTTTTTTTTTTTTGTTCCTTTTGAGCCTAATATACATTTATATAAAACCCAACAACAACAAAAAAAAACCAAATCCTTTTTGGATCCATCTTTCCAACAAAAAAGAACTTGTGCCTGTCTTTTCAAAAGCACAAATCATTTATAAACAAAAACTCTTATATCCTCTTTAATACACATCATTGACATACAGCAACCAGCTGGGAAACCATGAAACTGCATCACTACGCAAACCTGGTGGTTACACACGTAATCACGGCTCTGTGAAGAAAAGTCGACACGCCGCCTGGCTCATTTGTGTCGACCACAGTTAAACAGGAAGTCTTTGTTGCTTTTGTTTCCATTTTCTCTTACTTTTGTGATGCAGTGCAAACAGAAACATCATCCCGTGTACTCACTATGTCACTTGCCTTCCTCCAGACTAGAACTTGCAGACTCCTCAGACTTTATAAAAATGGACATCAATCACCAGTTTGACACATTTGATATCAAAGCAAGGCTTTGAAATAACTTTATATAACTTTTTTTTTCTTCAAAAAACACAGTGAACCCAAATGGATTTTAAGTTCATGGTGGGTCCCTGCTGGGAGTACACGTTTTGCCACTATGCTACAGTTCTTCTTAGGCTCGCTTTCTTTCCTTTTCCATCCCATCAAACGAACATTCGGTGACCTTCAAACACATCTGTTCCAACCCATCACATCAAAATACCAGACTCTGATACTCTCCACAACCTACAAAATTTGATGCAGGCTAAAATAAAAGAACATTTTATTCCTCCATCAGGTTTCTCTCCAACACACATCCCATTTCTCCTTTCTTTGCTTACTTCACTTTCCCCTTCACATATCCATCGTTCCGCCGGCATCGGTCTCGGCCTGTTTTTTGTCACTGGTTGCGCTCAACAAGAGTCAGAACTGTAAAATTCACATGATGTCCAGTGGGAATGTTGATATGACAAAGTAGTAGGAGTAGTCTCTTTTTCTTTTTTAAATTTTCTCTGAAAAGCATGACTGAATGCTGGCTGCTGCTGGGTAGTTGCTGTTGTGATCGTTATTTTTTTGTGAAATCCCCTTTTTCTGTACAAAGTCCAACTCCAAAGATGAGTTCCATGTGAAATGGCAGTGGTGATATGGGAGATCCTCTTCTAGCGTCACACAGTTGCTATTTTAAGCCTGAAGCACATGGACAAGAGAGACAATCAGTTTAAAGCAACAGTAAATGATGAGCTTCAGTACAAAATGCCCCCCTCCAAAAAAAACATTATCAGTGATAAAAATCTGAATACTTCAATTTTAAATTATTTAAAGGACATGGCTGGCAACATTTCATATTCGCACTCTTGTCTGTAGAGCCCATTAAAAGACAAAAACTAAAATGTTGTCTTTTTTTCATTTAAAATAATTCCCTGCTCAATTTTTTGGTTTTCTAGCTTTTTGTTTTGCTTCCAAGTAGCCAAATAAAATCATTACAGCTTTAACCACAGCTTCACCTTAGTTCACTTAGTGAGAGTGAAACTTTTGCAATTGCAATTAGGAACGAAACACTGCATCATAAACAGTGTTTTTAGCATGAGTTTCGCTATTTACATCACATATCCAAATGTTAGTGTTAGGCCACTATATTTGTATGTAAGATAAGCTACTGTATGTTGACAGCATTCAGCTCTTATTACTATGAAGAAAAAAAAAACATGAGTTATTAAGTTTGCAAATTCTTTAGCTAACTAGCATGCTAACACCTCGCTAACAATAACTTCATTACAGCAAACTAGACATATGGTGCCTAAATTACCTTGTAACCAAGAAAATATTAATGTCTTTAGGGACCATATGTTAGCGTTTCACTACTTGGTTCTGTATCCTGTGTAGGGATGTGCGCAATTACTCAACTAGGCTAGTCGTCTAGCTGGCTAATTGTCGCTGTTGTCACTAGTCTGTACCAGACTTACGAGTAATTTAATGTAATTGTTAAAAATTTTAATTGAGGCCAATGCCGTAAATTATTGTGTACCAAATGTTAAGCAGCCATCTGCCAGCAGATGGCACAATGCTGTAGAGAAACACGATAAATCTGTTAATCCAGGCCTCATCTCTTTGTTAACACTATTGATCGCTTTCTCCAAAAGATGGATGGGCTCTCCCTTATAGTAGAGTTGCTACTCCTTTCACACCATATTTAACATCGGTTTAAGTGTTTTTTTCTTCTTCACTGTCTGTCTAGAGAATAACGTGTAATATTGATAATGCAGGATGCAAGGTGCTGCACAGTTAAGCAGCATGATTCATTATTGTAAAATGGCTTTGTTATTAGTTTTTGACATTTTCCATTAAACGTTTCTCAAATTTAAGTTAATATTTGAGTGTTTCTTAGTTTTAGACTAGTTGGGCTGTCTAATTTTCTAAGGTTAGTCTACTAAGAAATTAGTCACCAGGTGCATCCCTAATCCTGTGGCATACTTTTATATCCTAGTATTTAGTATTCAAGTATTTAGAGGACATGACATTGTCTTCTCTCACTGTCCCTGGATGGATGTGTCTTATATAACACATAGCAGTAAATAGCAAATGTGTGCATGCATCTATCTCAGCTGCTAGTGTACTGTGCAGGGACATCAGTGGGACAACAAGACAAAAAAATATCACCAGCCATTTCCTTAAAAATATCACACCAAAACAGATTTTCTCAGCGTTGAAACAGCATGTTACTATTAAAAGTTGTGAATGCTAATTTGAATCTCTTTCTTGTCAGCAATCATATGGCATTATCACAGCACTTGAAAAATTGTGTCACTCTTAAAGCGTCAATCATGTCAATCCAGATGGCGAATGGAGGCGAGAGACAGCAAAACAGATGCTTAATGTGCTGTGTGAAATCCTGCGTGCGCTAAATGAAGTGAAGACGACTCACCTGATGATTCATCCTTATCATTACCTGTAGCTGGAAATTACAACAAATACCAAAAACCATACCATTCTATCTAAGATCTAGCCTTTGAAGTATTTCCTACGACAGGACGTTGGATGGAGATGAAAGAACTGAATGGCCAGTGATGAACATGACTGAGATAAAATGCTGTCAACGAAAAAGGCAGTGAGGTCTGACATGAGGATTCTGGCAGAGGAGAGGACGACAGCAGTGAGGCAGTTACTGAAGCTCACCCAGATCAGCTTAAATGGTCAATCACACTCTAAAGAAAACTGTTGCTAATGTACTGTAACTAGTAAATGCACACAAAACACACCCAAGTTGTTTCATACGATTTCTTGGATGAGGAACTGCTTCTTCTACCCAGCACATTTAATGAACTGGGTATGCCTAGAGTGTCATTTCCTGACATTTGTGTCCTCTATTTTGCTTTACAAGGAAAACAAACAACCAAGTAACATCTGCTTTAGGAGACAGGCTGGGTGGCAGCTGGTACGATCACACAAACTCTAAGCAGAAGACTTTAAGTGGTGTCTGGGACAGTTTTTTGCGAAAGCGTTATTTTGTCTGATCCTTTCCGGTTGTTGGATTTCAGTTTTGCGTTCCGTGACGGTGACGACACCAGCAGAGCACTTTTGGCAGCACACTGACAAAAAAACAAACAAAACAAAAACTGGGTATCGGTTGTGTTACAGTGTGACACCTACAGGTCCTAACCAAGCATCCATGTTTAAGGATGCTACTAATGTACGGTACATGACTGTTTAGAGAGGCTTCTAATAAACGTTTATCTCTAATCACCGCAGCAATTTCCTAATGTTGTAAACCTGCTCAACATTTGGCAATAAAACCCTTTCTGATTCTGATTCTTCTAATGGTGAAAAACAGCATTTAAACAAACAGTAGTAGAGACGTGTTTGATTCTCTCTCAACCACAGAAAAGTTTCTTTCTGTAACTTACACACAATATGATAATCTAAGTTACATAAGCCTATTTGAAATCACTCATACCAGAAATTTAAATACAAAACTTTCAAATCATCTACTTCAGATCTTAAAATATATGCACTCGGAATCGTGTCTCCTCTCCAAACACAATATATGGGAGTGCAAACTTGTGTGGGTTCCTGCATATTATACACACTGATTTCTGCCATCAGCTTATCAACTTGCATGAGTTCTTTATCTGAAATCGTCTCGCTTTGACCCGAGATATGTCGTGTACGACAACTGCAGACATAGTATGTGTGTGTGTGTGTGTGTGTGTATCTTTTTCTTTTTCCGTGCTGCTTTTCATTAAGGCAAAACAGAGTCCCTGGAGGATCTCTCAAGAGTGCAGAAGAATGATTCCCCTTCATCATTTGCTGCCAATTTCAGCAAAGACTGTCAGGGGGAAGCAATGAGTGAGGATAGGTCTACATTTGAATGAGACGGGTGGTGCTGAATTGTGAACAGAGGACCAGCACCACCCTTCTTTTTATGTGATACAGAGAGTAGAAGTTTTTTGGGGGAGGTTTAAATATTAACCATTTGTTTTCTTGCACTTTCAAATTCTACGCAAAACAAATCCTCAAAAGTTGTTTACAATGTAATTTCTATGCAAAGAAAGAGGTGATTTCTCCACCTGACTGATCTGGGTGCAGGGTGACAGCAAGTCTACATGACAAAGTGTGAGGGCGAGAGGAAAACAGGCAGAAATGAGGAGCAGGCGGAGGATGAAAAGGATGCAACATGAAAGGTGCGAGGAGTTTCTCCTGTTTGCGATTTCAATTTTTCAGACCTACCATGCATGCATTTAGACCCAGGAGTCAACAGGCTGGGGCTTAACATCACAAGCGTCCACCAGACTGACTGCAGGCCTGTTACTCCTGATATAGTGTTTCCTATTTGTGTCATTCTGTAGCCAAAGGAGCACGGGTTAAAAAACAAAACACAGTCAAACATAAAAAGAGGTCAATACATTTCACATGTACACTCCTGCTTAAATACACATGCATCCAAGATCAGAGAAGCCGGTGTTAGTTCCCTGCCTTAAGGAAAGCTTGGAAAGAACTCGGGTTGATTACAAAACAGCGAACCAGAACATGCAAAAGAAGGAGGGAAGAGAGCGCGTTTTGGTAGCCAAGTTGCATTCAAAGCGGGCTGAACACCTCTGGGAAGTACAGGCAGCAGACTTAAAAGACAGCTTTGGAGCGATGCTAGCAGGCCTGTACACTCTGAAGACAAACAACTGTTTGCTGTGATTACCGCTGCCTTCTGAGCTGAATAAAGTGTTTGTGCTTTTAAGATGTGACACTATATCTTTAGCTCTAGTTAGCCTAAATATAGTTGTCACTGAAATATACTTCAGAAGCTGCTACACTTATTGTTGTTATTCTGCCTTCTGAATGAATGAGAAGTTTAGCTTTACTTCGTTCACTCAGCTGAAAAGCCTGAAACCCAAACTGTGATCGGTCCTATTATTTGCCCACGGTATGTCCACCACTACTAGCAATAATGGTGTCGTTAGTCAGGACTTGACACCTATATTCTTAAAAGTTTGGTTTTAACTCATATAAATAATGTCAGCATAGGGAAAATCTGTTTAAATCAGAGGTGATGGTAGAGCCTGGAGTCCAGCACAACTTTCCTGCTGGAACGCCAAAACAAGATTATTTTTACACTAGATTGTCATTCTCTTAAGAACTCCAAAACAACTACATTTAATAAATGTTAGAGAAATTTGTTTACATTTTGTGTGTCTGTAAATATTGGCCAATATATTAAGTGACCAAATATCGATCTAAGAGCCCACAAAATAACTTAAAACTGACAGGAAACTTTCAGACAACTTGACATAGTGATTATACGTGTGTGATTATACGTGCTACACTGAACACATCCGAGAATAGGAGGTGGGATAATTTGAAAACTTCAGCCACAGAGAGCAGAGAAACATTGCTTTTCCCCATTACAGTGACGTCCTGAATATGAACATACATTTTAAGAAACATTTTAGTCCTCAGATAAGATAACACAGAATGCAAGGCCCAACTTTAAACCTATATAACAAATAAATAACAAAGAAAAGAATAATAATAAAAAAATAAAGTTTACTCTGTAAGAAAGAACATGCGCCCATGCTCAATCCAACAAATTTGCCTTACAATAGCTTACAGGTAGTTTATGATAGCTAATGCTAACAGGCAGGTGTTTGGTACTGGCATAACAGGCAGGTCACCAAGTCTGAGGCCATGTTTGTAGTACTGCTTAAAATACCAGTACTGTAAAAATATAGTTTATGATCTCACAATGGACCTAGGTGCCCTTTAACCTCTTTTTTTATTAGCAGCCTGTTGCAAACAAACTGTAGGCGGCGTTGCTTCTGTGCTCACATCCTGAGCGATGTGTTGAGATGACCGTCAGAAAGAAAATCATCTCTCTGTGACATTATAGAGAGCAAAGAGTAGAAGAAGCTGTCCGAAATGAAGCCAGAAACTTTGGCTCACGGGGATTACTTACACGTACGCTGCGCTCATTATCTGAATGTCTGGCTATGCTGAATGTGAACATCTACAATTTTAAACAGCAAAGAGAAAATGAGGAGCAGCTAAGTACACATGAAGTAAAAGTAGCTACATTGTAATTTTATGCACCTTAAACTATGATACTGTTACCCACTTCACGCAAATATCAAGCTAATATTCTAGTTGGACTTTAGATAAAAACAACAAAACTACATATTTTAATCTGAAAGGTAAATTTAAATCACTTTTAACACCAAAATATAATCACGTGCTAGTTTTGGAGAAACAAATATGTGAAAATACATCAAACATCTAAGCTGAATCATTCATTTTTGAGCCTCGAGGGCTAATCCCATCCATATTGTGTTAACGAAGATGAAAAATAAACAGCTTAAAGTACTTGAAAATCATCTGATGCCTAAATGCCATCCTCTGAGGCCACTAGCCTGCGACTCTGCTTTGAGGCTGGATTGCCGATCAGCTTAACACGCTGTTGTGTGATGTGTGTGTATAATCAGCAGACGACCATTCGATAACACGGCGGTCTGTTCATCGCCAAGGCAAGGGTTGTCTCCACAAGGAGCACTTGTTGGCGGTTCTTTTAATCAGTCTCAGATTAATTACTTTACAGACTCCAAATGCTTACACTCAATTAACTGCTAGCTCACAGATCTGAGGCTGTCCACAGCGCTCAGCTGCGGTGGCACTATTAGCAGAGAACGTCGACTTCCAGCCTCTTTAAAGAATCGATAGGATTAACAGCCTCTAATGAGGACCACCATTGAAAACAAAAAGAGTGAGAGAGACGAAGAGGACGTGATGATATTTCAATGAGGCATCATTATCTCGTTGTCTATTCCCTGTTCCCCCAGGAGATCAGAAGAGCTCTGTCCATACCTTTAATGGTTCCCGTTCTGTCAGGTCCACCGAACCGTCGCCGGTCTTGTATTTGCAGTCTTTGTCCCTTTGGTCAATGGTAGAGTAACCATCTAATGAGGTCAGAGAACAATTGTCAGATAATTCCTCTGTTTCCCTGATTATCATTGAACTGAGACAAATAGTTTAGAAATGTATTTTAAACTGTGTGAAGAGGCAGCTTTTCTGAGTGCCAGGAAAGAAGAGGAGACTACACGTGCCTCCAAATTCTCAAGCCTCTTTCACACATGAACTTTAGATAATTTAAATTCTACAGTAGTCCTTTCTCACGTGTAAGACACGCTTAAAAGAAAGCACTCCATGTGATTTAGGTGAGGGAGGTGCTGGAGCAACGTGTAGAAGACAGGACACATGACGCCCACCTGCTGGAGGTGAATGCACTGGAATATTAACAGCACGATGTGCACATGACTGCAACCCGACATCACACAGACTAGTGCTAGGGAGCTAGCTAATGCCTGATGTGACTCTGTCAGACATTTGCATTCTCACGTGCACCTCTGCTGGGAAAGTCCTAGAAAAGGTCAGAGCTGCAGTGCACGTGTGAAAGCAGTTTCTGCTCCTATAAACCTGCCAGTACTCGTGTTACTTACCTTCAGTGCGTCTCAAACAAAACACATCAAGCAAGTGAGATATTAAGCGTGTCCTTAGAACAGGCCTTTAAATGTGTTTTATGCATTCTGTAGCCTGGGGCATTTTATTTATCAAGTCTCAGAGTAGAGGATGTCACTTCTAGGGGTAATGCTGTTTTTAAAGTGTCAAGCATTTCGCTTAGTCACATAAACCATCTAACTAAATCTACTATATGCAATATAATAAGTACACTAACAAAAATAATCAGCAGATTAACACTTTTATCTTCTTTGGACTAAAGGCTGTACATAAAAGATGGCATGGCCTTGGGGTCTCAAAAGGGAGGCCAGTGTGGAAATGCCTTAAACTTACATTCTCTTCAATTAGGAGAAGAAAAAGTTCAAAGTTCAAACTTTCTATGGGTTTCAGTGTTTACTGTACAGTCATCATAAGCCATCACCCATCAGTTCAGTAAATGCTTGTGATGAGGTAAAAATGTGCATTTGAGTTTTAAATACCAACATTTTTTTTTTAATTTATTGATTAAAAATGTTTTGTGTAATTTATTTAGATTTTTCGGGGGGTGTCACCCTGATGTGCCGAGGGTTCTGAGTTCTACCTTCTTCAATCAGGAGAAGCACTCCTCCTGATTAAAAGTCAGCACAGAAACCATCATAAATAAGTCTCAAATTCTACTTTGAGGTAAGAGAATATGTAGTCCTGATTTAAATATCTGCACAACTCCTCTGTCGGTTTGTGAGTTGCCTTATAAGGAACACCAGCATTCAATAACACGGACTCAAAGGTACTTTCTGTTGCTCTCTTATTTCCCAAGGGGTCCCCCACAGTGGAAAGATGAGCATATTTGATATGGCACAGATTTTATGCCGGATGCCCGTCCTGATGCAACCCTCCTATTTGTAAAAAATAATCTTATTCTCTGACCATCAGCGATCACAAATGAATACAGGAGAGAGCTACAAAATAGTCAAAGTTGCAAATTACATCTTTAAAACCAAAACTAATCTGCTCTTTAAAGGAAGCACGGTGGAGAATCTATCCTGTGATATTCTAAAAGTATATTCATTAAGTAGTAAGAGAACAACCCAAATCCTTTGGTGTTGAGCTTGTGATACAGGCCCAGCTTTGTACAAACATCTTGTCAAGAGAGGGGTCGTGCATACAGCATCAAAAAGCATCATGTCTGAAGCTCGGTCCAAAGCAATCATACAAAGTTGAGAGGATTTAGTGGGCGAATTTTCAGATTAAAAAAATATCTTTGACGTCAAATCAGAGGATTGGACTCTGGAGTGAGATCACAGGAGAACTAGCTCTTCCTTGGCTAAGGACTATCATGCAGTCTGGCTCTTACCTGGGCCCAGCTCATCCATAGGTATCATATCACCACTGCCACATTTCCTGGTGCCTGAAAAGCATTCATAGGCCATTTGTACAAAAGCAGCACACACACAAACTGAGTCACTGAGCCAATGCTGATGCTGCTTTTCAGGGCGATGGTTCTCGGCCAGTGATTGAATAATGCAAACTGAGAGTGGGCAGACATGAGTGCCGCGATTCATATGAATGTATGGATGCAAAAATAAAGAAAAAAACTGCTGCTATGCTGCTGACTCCTCTTTCAATGAGATGTTTGTTGTTGGGCCAACATACTTCACAAGTCCCCTTCCCACCCCCTTATATACACTGCTGTTACAGAAAACCTCTATCGCAGCACCTTGCAGATGCAGCCATACACGCTGGCTTAGAGTTGAGGACATTTTCTTTATCCCTGACACCAATACGCCAGTCAAAAACTCAGTCTCTATAAATCCAGCTCTTAACTTTTTAAAATTCTTTATTAATGTTTTTTTGGACCAAGGTTTTTGTTAACAGCAGCAGTATGCTTTCTGAAGTTGTAGTTACCATTTTATGTGCTTTATTTTTTAACCGCTATGGACAAAAGCATTACTGCGACATTTCACACCAAAGCGTCACCATGAGGAGGATGAAAGTAGTAGCAATGTGCAAACACTGCGCTTCAATATAGCCATGAGGCGGGGGAAAAGCATACATGTCCCCAACAAGTAACACACACTGAGTCAGATGCTTGCTCCAGTAATCATTAGCACTTGGTTTGAACCTGCTTTGAGGACTCCAGGGGTAGGGTTACTCTATGTAAATGTCCACCAATAAACATGTTGTGCTAATGCTGTGCTGTAATTTGGGTATGCAGACTTAAATAGTGACAATGTTATAAAAATCCAGTGACCCCCCCCCCCAAAAAAAACTAAAACAAAACTAAACCATGTTATTAAGAAGTTACCTGGGTAATATTTTCCTTCAGTGTAGTAAACATGGGACTCCTGCTACCAAAAATGACAGCACGTGTGTATTCATCCCTGGCAAAAAATAGTCCAGTAGCTCATTTTGTATAACAAAAGACAGGATCTACACTATCCAGCTGATGTTTGTACTTATTGCTTTTTTTTCTTCTTCTTTTTTTGTTTTTAAATTGAACTGATCAACCTTAGTGTATTTTAAAATATTAAGGTCTTCGCATGAAACAGCTTAGTGTGAATATGCACATTTTTTAAAAAGGAGATGGGTTGCAAAGCGGCCTGGAGATTTGCACTAAATATAACCATGTCAAAGCATCCTAATTAGTACTACCTATTATTGGTATCAACTAAGCCGTTAGCTGTTAACCTCCTAGGACCTGGCGTCCACATATGTGGACATCCCATTTTGAGTTGTCTAGACCAAAATCCTTAATTTTGCTCTGCAAGGGCCGGATATCCACTTATGAGGACATCATACTGCCACTGTTCTATCGAAATTTAAAGCGAATGTCCTCATGTGTGGATCTTATTTTTCTCAGGAACAAAAATCAGGTAAAAAAAAAAAATTCACATAACTCTTTGTCTTTACATGGCTCAGGTCCCAATCAGCCCAAATAGCAAAGAGAAATTAAAAAAGCATGCCATGACAGAGTTCGGGTCTTAGAAGGTTAAAGTCTGGGACTTCTATCTGCTAATCTGCCACGACTACTAACTGAGAGTAAATTCATGGTCAGCATGACAGTGAGCTCACTTTTAGTTTTGGAGTTCTTGAAAATGGGGGAGGGGGGGGCACCTTTTATTATCAGTCTGATGGCTTGTTCCCACTGGACGGGTAATTCATCCCATATAATGGGGAGCAAATTAAAACATCTGCAGCTAATGAGACTGTTCCCATTGGATGGGTATAAAACATAACTTGACAACTTGAAGAGACAGAGATTTATCATTCGCTCCTCGAGGTTGACAGAACAGTGAAAAGAAAATCAGCAACTTGACAAAAGGGTGCGAGGACCTTAAATTAAAAAAACAAAACATATGGAGGTCATATGGAGTAGTTACTGCACACATGAAACACTAAAAAAGGATGTAGCTACTGTCTTTATTTTGATCTTAGATTTTTGAGGATTACACATGTGACAAGAGACCTAACATTATTCATCTCGTTCTTCATGAGGTGAATAGGTGGACTACTTTCTAATGAGCTACACAACAATGTCACTGAAGTGGTCTTCATTTTCCCCCGACCTCGTCCTACCCCCTTTAGTCCTCGAAACAGACACAAACAGCAGCATACACTCTACCACACACGTGCTGACTGACCTTGGTTCTTCTCCATCAGCGGCAGAGTGGTGTCATCGTAGCCCGGCTTGCCGTTCTTGGTTGCTTTAGGAGTGGCCGTCACAGTGAGCTGAGAGAGGAGAGGGAGCAGGAAGCACATCGTAACGTCATAATACAGATCAAACAGTTCCCAGTATGGAAAGATTGAACTTTCTCACCTAATGTGGGGTACGAACTGAACGCATAACAATTCATAACATTTTACGAGATAAGTATCAGAAATTAATTATGTTGTCTCGATGATGTAAAGATGATATTGGTAACAGCTTGATTCAAATTTTAGTCGGTGGAGATTTATTGGAAATTATTTTACAATGTCAGGAACAGAAAACCGAGCCACTCTCAAAGCTATTTGAATGAAGCTGCTTACAAAACATTCTTTCAACCTTCTGAGCGAACAATAACAACACTCTGGATTGACATTATTTGTAAAGGCTGACTTTGGTTCCATACCTGGAAGTGGCTTTTGTTCCACCCGTCCTTGGCCAACGCGTTCCTCAGCTCCTTATAACTCCACACTGTCTGCAGCACATGGGACGCTGCCTTTGTTTCACGTGCTGATTGGCTGAAGAGGCCCCCCCCCCATCCAAAAAGGAGGAAATTAGTAGGAGAAGTAACTAGATCAATTAACGTCAGTAACCTCACCTAATCACAAAACTGTAACAGCTGGGCGTGCTGGCGAGGCACCGCTGCAATCAATCTCTTCATTCAAAGGCTTTTGAGTTCTCCGGGCAGTTTCAGGGTCTAGTTTTTAATTCACAGCCAGATGAATACACATTGCCTTTCATTAGCTACCTCTGAGCCACCAGTATTAATTATATGTGGGTGCGAGGGAGGGGGCTCACTTCAAAGAAAGCTAATCTCATGAGGCTGAGAGGAAACACTAGCTATTTGGTTTGTGAATAAACTATGTATATTCATGCTTGTTAAAGTGACTCTGGATGATCAATACATCACCGCACAAGGACGGGCCTTTGAAAACTGCATTTAAAATGTGGTGCGGCTCTAACACGCCTTTATTTGCAGTGAGTAACAATGTGGTTATATAAGACACCTCTTGAAAATATTAGCCTGAATATCTTAATTTTCGCTACTAGTTGCTGAGTACAGCTGAGACACCCACTGTAAGAACGGCCTCCACTTCTGAAAGCCTGTTTATTAATGTGAGGTGGGCAGTGGTGTCTGTAGCCAAGCTCGCGCCGTCACAAGACGCGTTACATTATTCATCCTCCATGAATACTAATATGAAGGCTCATGATGAAATTGCATACAAGGTCATACTATAATTATGTCTCAGTAGTAAGGCCACACCTCGTGCAGAGCTTATATGGATAACAGCATGCTGCTTCAGTTTGACTCAGTGAAGAAAAGGGGAACGCAGTCATAGAGCAACGTCAATGTCCGACTGTACTTAAAAAATCTTACCTGGTCCTATTGATGGCGACCAGTTTCTCGATGGCCTGGGCCTGGATGAGGGAGCGTGCGTTTTCAGAGCTGTCGGTGACGATCTCGTGAATGGTATTGAGGATGGCCACCACAGTGTCCTCCTCCAGGTTCTTGGCTGGTCGCTGCTGACCGCTGGGCAGGTTGCTCACCAAGTCCCGCATGGCATAACTTCCTATACGGTGAATTAGTGTTTAAGGTTAACCAGGTGACAGTGACAGGGAGAATAAGAGTCAAACACAAAGCACTCTGAGAGCACAAACCTCCAGCAGCTCCCTTCCTGGGCAGTATTTCCTTTTTAGGAAGTTTCTAAATTTTAAGGCTTTGTGTCAAATTTCCCAAAATAAATCATTAAGCTGACCTCGGAGACTTTGGTGGATGTAAAGCTAATTTTAATGGATTAATATGACCCCACTCTACAGTGTTACAAAGTTTTATCAGAATTCATTAAAAAAAGTTTGTGAGCTGTTGTGCTTATAGTCAGATGGATGACACGCATGCAAAAACACAACCTCCTTGGCTGAGGTAATTAACACCTTCAAAATGAGTAATAAATTAGGTTACATCTTAGCAAGTGAGTCTTGTGTGCCTCGTAAAATTGCATGAATTTTACGAGGCCAAAAGCTTGCATTTAATAACATTTGAGATGCAATGGATGGACTTTGAAGGCTTATCATAAGGAAACTATATCAACAAAGGGAAAATTGGAGGTATAGAATCATAAATGCATTCCCACCAACTAGTGGTCAGAACATGCGGGCATGTTAGAATTATTTTATGAAAAGACTTGTTAGCCTTTTAAACAATGTGGTTCAAATCGTTCACAGAATAATAGCAAACCTTCATTGGTATTACTGCAGTAGCCATCCAAAATAACATCAACAACAACAACAACAACTGTGTGGCTTTGCTAATTGTTTGTACCGATTAGATCCTTGTTGCGGCGGTCAATGGACAGGTTGCGCAGAGCGATGGCCACAGCTCGGACCACCTTGTCAGAGTCAGAGCGCAGCAGCTCCACCAGGATGGGAAGACCTTTCTCCTTCCGCACTGTGGCTCGGATGTAGCTGGACCACTGAAGGGCGAAAGAAGGGCATGCTGTGAGTGCTTTTTATATTCTTTAGAATTTTATATAAGTACTTGAATCAGCCCTAATATCAGTGCACATCCTTTCATTTGAGGCCCCGAGGTAAGTCCCACTGAGGAGCCTAGTGGATCTCTGTGACACCAGCACAGAGGGCGAAGACACTTCTGCAATATTCTCCACCCGTGCATGGCCATGCACACTCAGAAAGTCGTTCTGTAACTACAAGGCAGCTCATCACTGCTCCTTAGGCATAAGTAATTCACAACATCACACAGTGGGGCTCTGAATGGACATGTGATATAATTTGTCTTAATTTAAACATCAGTAGATTTTACTTCTCATTTTTTTGGAACATGAAACATTAAGCTTGACATAAAAGGGTTTCTTCTTCGGAGTGCTGATAACCCAAGAGATGTAATTAAGCAGAGGACAGTCAAAGCTGAGCCACCAGGTGGCAGTAGTAAGCCTTGGAAATAAGGGAAATCTCCCCTGTGGTACTAAGCAGAAGCAAAGAATGAGGAGGATTTCAAGCAGAAGCTCTGATATCCTCAGAGAGCAGGACACTCTTTGTCCAGCTCCCAGATGTGACAGTCTGGTGTGTTAGCAGCTCCACAGGTTACTGTTAGCCTGCTCAGGCGTTCTGATCATGCTTACCAGGGAAAACATCTAACAGGAAAGAGTTTTTCCACCTCCAAATACTCACCTTAGCTAAAAATCACTACATCTGAATTATTAAAAACATTCAATGAGAAACTCAGAGCTGAATCTGATCTAACGAAACAAGAGGAAAAAAAAGGATCAATCAAGATTTCAGGTGATTTTCCTCACGTCTCTGAGGGCTTTTTGCTGCTGATGAAATCTGAGGACTGAAAGATGTATCTACAGTCTGACACTTGGGTGTTAAGAGAAGAGCTTTTGCGATAATGCTGCCGTGGGCTGAATACAGCCCATCTGCTGGAAAACATAAGTGACCGCTCTTGCCCGAGGTGCTGCGCGTAAACTGGCAGCTGACTACCAGCCATCCCTGTTGATAATTCACTACTTGCCTGCAAGCCAGACAGCAGCTCCGCAGATGCTCTAACTGGAATAAATGTGTAGACCTGACTGCACAGCTTCTCATCTAATCCATCATCAGAAGCAAAAACCTACGAGAGATGAGAGTGCTGGATAACAGATACAACACTTATCTAATATTATTCCACCTTGATGGTTATCATTACCCACCCTGTCTTGTGCTGCTGTCATGTTGATTTAGAGCTACTTAAATTGTTGGATCCCATTCTAAATGTATCTACACTTAATTTAGCTTCAATCTCCATCACAGAAACAGCCATATACTAACAACACTATTTATAGCATTAGCCTTAACATTGCTGTTTTCACCTTTCTTGATCCAAGTGCAACCAGCCAGCAATACATTGTGCATGAGCTACCTAGAGCGAGCTTTAGTTTCCACACACATACTTTGGCCCTCAGAAGGCAGTCAACACATTCTCATCCCAGTGTGTCAACTACTTTGCTTGGGTTGTGGTTAGGGTTCAAAGTTGCCCTCTGTTGAAAAATGGCACTCTGTGTATTTAAACGTGACACCAAGGACTTCACAAGAATCCATACACACCATTCAGGCATAACAGTATGACTAATATCCTGTTGGTTCTCCTTTTGCTGCCAAAACAGCCGTGACCCATCGAGATATGGACTCAACTAAACTCTTGGAGAGTGTCCGGCACCAAGATGTTAGCAACAGATCATTGAAGTCCTGTAAGCTGTGAGGTGGAGGCTCCCATGGCTGCCCGTGACCCTGTTGCTGGTTCCCCACTGTTCCTTCCTTGAACACCCGACAAGTGCTGCAGTTATGGAGATGCTCTGATCGAGTCGTCTAGCCATCATAATTTAACCCTTGTCAAACTTTATAAAACAAAACTCGATAAAATGTTCACTTTCCCCCTGATATATCCCACCTACTAACAGGCGCCATGATGAAGAGTTAATCAGTGTTCTTCACTTCAACTGTCAGCAGTCATAGCCTGACATTGTGTATGACAAGTGGGGAGTAACAGATCCATCTTATTATTACAAGAAACCTGCAGTCATGGCACAGCCGTTATACACCACCAGCATCAACAAAAGAACAGTGTTTGTCTCCCAGGGAGGGAGAGCAGACTTGGTCTTTTTGCTACCATCGCAGGACATGTACAAGGTTAAAGATGAGGACAAAAGGCTGTAAAAATATAAATGAGGAAGAAAAAAAGCCAACGGGATACGGTAACACCCCAACCCAGTACTCACAGTCCACTGTCCAGCGCTGAGGTTTTGCAGAGCCCCAGCAGCTGCCTCTAGGGTGTTATAGTTCTGGCTCTCCGTCAGCAGAGAGAGGTAGAGCCTCACCACCTCTGGCTGATACAGCAGCTCAAAGCCTGCAGGGAAATACAGAGAAACAAACACACTGGTTAGAATCGGTAGCCGGAAAGATAGGCTAGTTAGGCTGTGTGAAGGTGCTGAGGTCTAACTCTGTCCGTAAGAAATGTACTTTGGCACAGCAAAACAGGAAAAGACGCTTGGGTTTGCCATAATGCACAACACCTCTGGTGAGAGCACACAACCTTGACACAAAATGCCACAAAATTTGGACCGCAGTTCTTTCTGCAAACTTTTGAAAATGTTCCTGAGGACAAAACTATGCAAAACCATGTTAGGAGCTGAAACCCACTGTGTCTATGTGGTTTTAAACAGCCTACAACTCCTTTATGAAGAAAAGCTGGAGCAGCGCCTAGTAAATTTCCACTTAGCAATACTAAAGCATTACCATTGAAAACACTTCAGAATTATAAATGAGGAGAACAGAAGAAGGAGAGGTTATTGATCCGACAGCCCTCACCAAACCCAGGGTATTTGAGAGGGAGGTTTATCTCGCTAGCACATAAGACATTCCAGCACAGTCAATCATTAGGCCTCCCTCTGATGGAAATGTAATTATATTATCAGCTATTAGACAGAGCAGGCACAGGGAGAGGCCGAGGTGTCGGATCGCATCAAATCAAATGTATTCATCCAAGGTTTTTCTTATTTTGCACTAACAAATGACTTACAGGGGACCAAAATGACACTTTTCTGATTCAGCGGGTGAATAGACACACTGATCTGCTCATCTTACTGGAGGGGGCAGGTCACATAGAGAGGGGACACACCCAACAGATTTTGATGACTTGACCGAAACACTTCTTTCCAGTTTTGAAGAACCAGCTATATTCTGCAAAGGAAGCACTCCACCTCATCTAATCTAAACAAAGCTAGAACTAATGCAACAGTGTTTCAATACAGGGGGCGCAAACAGCTTTTACCCACGCAGGTTTTAACAGACTTCTGCAGCCCAGATCACAAGCTAACTGAAGCTTTAAAATCAGCTTTTACAGAAACACAGCTTCCTTCCTATCTTCAACAGGAGTGCACATGCAATTTTAAATCCTTCTTCTATCCCTCAGGTCCAAATGAAAAGATATATAACCCGCTGCTTCTTCCCATGTGCTCTGAGGCCAGTAATTCCAAGGTTCGATCTGAAAAGCTCCGTATTATAGGAGCTGGGATGCACAGTAACCCCGTTTGATTAATGCGCGCAGGTTCACGAGGCTCTTGGTACATTCTTGAAATGTAGAAAAAGATTTCTTTCCTTTTCTAATGTGACTTGGGCCCACATATAAAATCAGCAGTCAAAACCCATAAAAAGGCATCTTACGGTAATGTACCCTCTTTTTATTGACTCACTTTTTTTACTAGGAGACTAAAAATAGAGGAGAGTATCATTTTTGTGCTCAAGAAGTACAAGATAAACACATAAACTGACATTTGTGCCTCTAAATCCACATCTCACACTCATAATTTGCAGAGAGCGGAAGCCAGAGTGCTCTGACTGCCAGATTTCAAACACAGCAACATAGTAGTTAACACTCAAAAAGCGGGGTTTTCTTCCCGAGACGCTTCCCCGTGAGATCACTCGACCAGAGGGCGTGTGGGAGGAACTGCCAGACTGGGAGATCGCTACTGGAGGTGCTGCTCCAGAAGTTACTTTCAAAAGTGAAGCAGAGTGAGGAGCAGACTACCCCCCGAGTTGTAATCACGCGCTAAAACATGAATCACTTTTTTTTCTCAGGGGCTACGCAAGAAAGGGGGTGGGTGGGGATTACAAACCAGACACTCAGCAACATTCTTCACGCGCCTCATATTTCTGGGCCTACTGGGTGCACACTCAGCAAACTGGAACCTATGAAGCAGGCAGTCTTGTTGACAGACATTTCATCTCCAAAGCAGATTCTCTTTACACAAAATGTCAGCCACGTTAAACCTTTGGAAGCTTTTTCTGCACTCCAAAACTGTGCATACTATGGCTCTTTCTTTTCCTGTAACATAATCTGCAAATCCACACTCCCTCCATCTTGAAATTCTTGGGGTTTTGGTCTGGCACCCAAGCGAAGAGACTTATGAAATTGGAGTTTTACAAATGAAAGACGTGCACAGTTCAACAAAGGAGATGAAAATGGAGGGAGAAATTCACTAAGCGTTTAAACTAAATCCTTTAGCCTTAGTGGAATTTTCTTACTGTTGAGATGTTAAGTATCTCTGCCAGACCCTTTTACTCAGCAGTTTTTGGAAAGGGCTTAATGTCAGCACCAAGTCCCCGAGGTCTTTACTAATTAGTGCAAGCCAGGTCAAGTTCTGTTGGCAACTGTACACTGAAGTGTTGTTGTTGTCGTCAGTCATTTCCTGCTTGCCTTTTGGCCCGCTGTTGTCAGTTTGTTAGGCAGAATTACAGTTTGGACACGGAGATGAGCTGTCAGTGTGACGTGACCTTGGCTCAGGGCAACCCACAGCCCTATAGTCTGTAACAGACTGCAAACACGGTGAGATTACTTGAATATGATGGATTCAATCCTGAGGTGTAGCATGGAGAGCATGCAAATCGACTTCTGAGTTTCCCCATTTTTCAACTAAATAGCTAACTAAAGTTAAGCACTAGTACTTTATACTTCTCTTGCTAGTACAGAGAAGTATCAAAACCTTTTAGCAAAGCAGATTAAATGCAAGATCATGTAAATACAAGCCAAAGTCCGGTATTTAAATGTTAACCATATGCTAGCACAATGTACTTTAATCTGCAATAATCTCCAAAAATGTGTGTGTTGATTTTTTTTGGCAAACTGATAATGGAACGAAAAAGTTCCTCTAAGCTGTAATTTTAGTTTTTGATTCTTTCTGTTTGTTTTTCTTTATTGTTGTTTTTACAGCCTACAATTTTACTGCAATTTCACAACACTCATCGGTGCGGTTTCCAATAGTAGCACACGTCTGTTTGTAGCAGGCTGCAGCGAGTAGATCCCCGTAGACTGCCCTGTTAATATACCTCACCTCAGTGTGCTTACAGCCTAGTACCAACAATGCTTTTGGTAGCCATAGCCATTTTACCCCTTCATAACAAATGTAACTAAACTTAGCAGCATCTACCAGGCCTCACTAATTAGTTCCTTAACTGGACCTCTTAGCACCCTGCATGATATTGTTGCCTTCTGGAGTATCTGACAAATAGCGCAAGGTGTGAGGTGCAGCTTTCAAGTCAATGATGAGACCAGAGGGTGAAAGAAAATATTTACTTTGCACAGGGATGGAAGTGAATGTAGGTCAACCTTTGGACTAACATTTGACATCTTACTAGTTGTAATTTTATCTGTTATACCAGGGGTGTCAAACATAAGACCCAGGGGCCTGAATCAGCCCAGTAAAGACTAAACTGATACAAAACTGATACATATTGTTGAAATTACAATATGTTGTTGCTACATAAAGATATCTCAGGGATTAAATGTGTAGTTAAACTTCTTTTCACTGACAGAAAAGAGAGTTTCACTGGTCCAGCCCACTTAAGATAAAATGAGTTTGACTTCCCTGCTTTACACCACACAAAAGACTCCCGCTGAGCTCTGCTCTGAAGTCAGTGCGTGCAAACACACAAACACAGAACGGCACAGTCAGTAACAAGCTCGTCCCTAAATGAGGTGAGAGGGGAGGAGAGGCGAGTTACTTTTCCAAGTAGATGACAATGGCGACAACTCCTCCAATCGAGGTGGAGCTCAATTATCAGTGGAGAGAGGGGGCTCTGTGGGGCCGCGGTGCATGAAAACTGGGTTAGAAATGAAGTTAAGTTGAAGTGATTGAGTGACGCTCGGTGCAGAGCTATAGCATTAATTCAGTTCAAGTGCTCACACTATTACCTTCGCAGGCTGTGACAGGCCGGTAAATGATAATGGATTAACTGATGAGCAAGGTAGCAACGCACACACGAATCCACACGCAGCACATGTATGTGAGCATAATGAAGGCGCTTCTCTCCGATTCACACACTCATCGACTCGGTTCTCCAGAGCAATTTGCCTTGCTCTCAGACAGTTTGCTGCATTCAGGCAGAACTCGATACATACCTCTTCAAACAGCTCCATACACGCACACAAACACATCAAGCCCTTGTGATGAAAGCGATGTTCATCGACCAACCCCGACTAGATCAAGAACACTGTCTCCTTCTGCATCCTGTAAGCACTCCATTTATTCACTGCTCCATTTCCAATACACTAGGAGCACGTAACACTTCCATCTGAACAGGAAGGACATGATGCCCCATCACTTTTTACAACTCATAGGAGAGAGTCAGAGGGGGATAAAGAGAGTGGCAGGCAGAAAAATAGAAAACAGCAAGAAAAAAGAAAGCATCTCTTATAACATACTGAAGTAATTTTCACATAACAGCTTTTTCCTGTTACTCTCATTGTAAAACAGCTCCGATTGAGCATCAGAGAAACATGAGGACGTGGAAGACAAAGTAAAAAAGTCCGGAGAAATAGCTCATAATGCTAGACTGACCACAGGATGACCTTCTCTTCCCGGATACATAAATCAGACCACCGCAGTGGGAAGCCTCAAGTCGTCGAGTCTCCACTCTTATACTCTTTAACCCTGCCAGTCCTCTTTATATTTATACCTCCTTATATAAGTACAAGCAGGCACATGGGAGAGTGCTACAGTGCTAATGAAGACTTCCGCAGGGCAGAGCCATAGCACGGCGACAGCTAAAACAGCACATCATTAAAAGTGGTACGCCACCAACATAATAATGGTCACGACTCTCTCGAGTTCATTAAAAACTAAAAGGTAAACGGTGGAGCCGTGTAAACAAAACAAGGAAATTGGCAGGCTATGCGGAGGCAATTCCAGTCGTACAGCGTTTGAAAATTTCGCTTTGTTGTTATTGTTGTTGCTTGGAGGAGCACCAGATGGATGGAGTTTACACACTGTGTCAGTTTTTCAAAACATGATTGATAGTAAGAATTAGACCGGCCGGAATTTATGCAATTTATCTGTCAATTACAGGAGG